GGGACGCCCCACGGAACGTGCCAAGTTGCAATGCTGAGTGTATCGATCTTGATGTACCATGCCGAAATCTGTGCTGTGATGCGCCGTGCTGAACTGCGATGTGCCATGCCGCGATTGTGCTCTAGATAGCGTTGTGGATCGAGTCCTCTTTGCATCCGAGTCCTGACCGAACTGATCTGGATCTTAAGCTCGAGCTGCCTGAACACATAGTAGCTGCCCCAGAACTAATCGACAGGGGGACATGTCAGGAGGACGCGCCGCGGAACGTCCCAAGGGACGCGCCAAGCGACGTGCCAGGGGACGTGCCATGGGCACGCACCGCGGGACGTGCCAAGGGGACGCGCTACGGAACGTGCCAATGGATGTGCCACGGGATGTGCCAGGGGACGCGCCACGCGACGTGCCAGGGGGACTCGCCAAGGGACGCCCCACGGAACGTGCCAAGGAACGTGCCAAGTTGCAATGCTGAGTCAATCGATCTTGATGTACTGTGCCGAAGTCTGTGCTGTGCTGCGCCGTGCTGACTTGCGATGTGCCATGCCGCGATTGTGCTCTATAGCCTCGTGGATCGAGTCCTCCTTTGCATCCGAGTCCTGATCTGGATCTTAAGCTCGAGCTGCCTGAACACATAGTAGCTGCCCCAGAGCTAATAGACAGAGGGGACATGCCAGGAGGACGCGCCTCGGAACGTCCCAAGGGACGCGCCAAGCGACGTGCCAGGGGACGTGCCATGGGCACGCACCGCGGGACGTGCCAAGGGGACGCGCTACGGAACGTGCTGGGGACAAGCGTTTCGCTCGAGACATCCTGCCAACATCCTCAGAATTCCTGCGCGCGGGGCGCGGACGCGCGAGACATCCTCGAAATTCTTGCGAGCGGGACGTGTAAACAAGCATTTCGCCTGAGACATCCTCTGAATTCTGGACCCCCACGAGGCCCCCCACGAGGCCCCCGCTGGAGACATCCCCCAATTTTGCAAAACCAGCGGTTCGCTCGAAACGTCTTCAACAAATTATGAAAGACAAGCATTTCGCTCGAGACATCCTGCCAAAATTCAAGGAAATCCTAGCAAAACAAACGAATTAGTCGAGACATCCTCGAAATTCCTGCGCGCGGGACGCGGCACGCGCGAAACATCATCGGAATTCCTGCGCGCGGGGCGCTTTTCCGCGTCGCGGTCGGCTCTGCAAAACCAGCGTTTCGCTCGAGACATCCTCAACAAATTCTGAAAACAAGCGTTTCGCTCGAGACATCCCAAACTCTGCAAAACTAGCGTTTCGCCCGAGACATCCTCAACAAATTCTGAAAAACAAGCGTTTCGCTAGGGACATCCTCAAGCATAATTCCGCCGGCCCTACTCCCGCACGTAATTTATCGCAGAATAATTTCGCCGGCCCAAGTCGCAGGGGGGCCGGGGGGTTAACCTACTAAAAGAGAACCCTGGGCCCGCGCCCTTTCCGGGAAGAACCATCCTTGAGGACTGTGACCCACGTAAGCGTCGTCCCGCGTCAGGGTCGGCGGCACCGGCCGTAAGGACTTCGCAATACTCATGTCGCGAGCATGCCTGAACTGTGCCCAACATGCTTCCAGACGTTCCTGGATTTATCCCGATGATTTCTGATCGTTACCATATTCATCTGGAAAAGAAGTCCAGCGAATACCAAATCTCGTGCAATTGCACTGCAATGAAGGCGGGCAGCTGCCTGACCCTCTGTGGAAAGGGACGAGGGAGGGTATTCTGCGAAAACAAAATGACGCACCAGAGGGAAACGAGGAGGGAGAGAGGCAAGGGACGATGAGGAGGAACGATTCCAAAACGCCACATGTGACTACGCACGTGGACTCCGCCGCGACTCTCGCACGCAGATCGAACGAGGCGGCGAGGCCACCGTCGGCCGCGGGACTGCTGGCGCGCACCGGCAGCAAGGCCATCGCGGCCCAGAGAGCCACTTCGTCGTCCCCGGAGCCGCGGAGAAGACCACGGAAGCGCCACAGAAAAGGGGCCCCGACTGCGCGCCTGTCCGACATGATGAGTTCGCACTTTCGCACGCAACGTGCCAAGGCCGGGCTCACGGCGATGTTGCTCTACCCAACTGGTAGGAAATCGACAACCGCGCTTGCCAACAATTCCAATATGCGAAAAGGTCGAACGAAAACGGCACAACGTCTTCGGACGTGCGCATGGCAACAAGCGCGCGCGGAACGCTTCGTAATCGTGTCGTGCCGGCGACGGGTCAGCACAGAGCACAAAGGTTTCGCCTGCAATCAGAAGGTTCTCACAAAGACGCGCGGTAAAGACGCAAGGGCCTTGGGTGCCCGAGCTGGAGATCTTCCAGCGGCGCCGGACGGGCTGACGAGGCTAGGTGCGGCCGAAGGCAAGGACGCCAGGGCCCCCGTGCATGACTCAAGGACGGCTGGGTACGGCCGGCAGGAACGCAGGAGGACGGCAAGGCGCAAGGACGCAAGGCAAGGACGGCCGGGCCGGCAAGGCGCAGGGACGCAAGAGGCCAGGTGCGGCCGCAGAGACGCAAAACCACTCGTCGGTATGATGCGGCTCGACTGTAGACGCCTGGGAAGGGTCCAGCACAGCACACCGTGGCACGCTCGGCCCGGCCCGCCCATGCCCTCTCGATCCGTCCTGCGCCTCGCTGCCATCTGCAGACCGGGTTTCTCCCCTCGGAAGGCAAACACCAAACTGAATTAGTTCCAAGCAGAAAGGGTATTTTGTAACGGGGCCGTAGAAAGATACGATAGTTCAAAGCGCGTGGCCTCTCTCACGGACCAGCGATGCGAAATGCAACGCGTTCTGCCCGCATGTGACACGATCCAGCACGAACGATTGCACGAAGTATTGCGTACGTGGTTGGGAGTCCCAACTTGGGACCCCTGCCTCGCTCCGGGTCTTGCTGCTCCCTCATCCTCCGCCTCGTCCGCGCCGCCGCCGTTCGTCGCTCTCCTCCTCGCCATCCTCCTGCTGGTCGCCCTCTTCCCTGCCTCCAGTTCACGACCTCTTCATGCGCTTCCTCCTCCTTCCCCCCATTCAACCTCCTCCCCTTCCTCGTCCTCCGTTTCCATATGATCATCCTCGAATGGGCCACCCATCGGCCACTCCGCTCGAAAACTGGCTGCTCATCTTGCGGTTCATCCTCTTCGTGCTCATGTTCCTGCCCCTCTTCCCCTCGCCCATCATCCAGCGCGACCAGATCATATGTTCATGGTGAAGAATTGGCTTGTATGCTGACACCGAGGCGCATGGCGCTCTTGCGAGCAAGACCACCAAGCCCTCGCTGGAGGGCGGCTGTCGTGAGGTCGTGCGCGAGTCTGTAAAGACAAGCCAGGCATTTACCTCCAAGACCCGAAATGGGAGACTCCCGGCTGGATCCCAATACGGGGAATGAAGTCATCGTTTCCCCACCTCTGCGCATGTAGCCAATAGCAGATTCAATGCTGAACCATACGATCGTGTAGACAGCCAGTCCCACCACATTCAATATTGCGGTGTGTTTCTGGGGCGAGTTCTTGCGCGAGGCATCTGTACCAGGACACGTAGGAAGACTCAGCACGTTTCGCCGCGGCGACATTGCACGCTTGTGCAGTAAGGGGTTGTCCAATACTTCTTTCGAGCGATGAGCAGGCCTGACTGGTTTGAGATACTTGGCAATTGATAATATGTTGTAACTTTTGATTTGAAGTACTTCACTCGGGAACAGAAGTAAACCTCTTGGGTCGTTTCTGCCCCGTTGGGCTTGCTTTCAAGCTCAAATGATCCCACGGAGTCGCGCATGTATTACTGGCTTACACTACCGAGTACCAGCAGGTCCACATAGTACCATAGAGTAGTAGGTTGAAACCAGATGTGGGAGCCAACCGAACAAGAATGTAGCCCGCTCTGCTACCAAGTCGAAAGCAACATGGTACCGTCAAAGAGTACATCGCAGCCAATATAGTAGTATTGGATGGGATGTAGATGAGGAGCGTCGTGTATCCACTCGTATCAGCCGCACGGTTTTGTGGCGTTGAATAGGGCGCGCGTGCCCGAGTCAAAGGCAAACGGGGCGCGCTGCATGTCCTTCCCCAGCGGGGGCCTCATTTTGAAGCTTGCTTGTGTTGCTGTTCGCCGCGCCTGCTCTGCGTGACCCTCTAGACTCGCATCAAGCGCGGTTGCCCCGCACGTTGTTTCTGCGACGGTTGGCAGCGGCTGCACATCACATGCTGGGAGCGGTGCGCACGGCGTGCGCCTGCCCAACCATCGGTTTGAACACCGCTTCGTAAAATCAGAACGCGTAAGCAGGGCCTTCGCACGCACGGGAAGGCACGATCCCCGAACCGAGCTAGGACGAGAGAGTGGGAGGAGCAACTGCAGCAGCAACAGGAGCGGGCGAGGGGAAATTCGAAGCAACGGAAAGAAGGCAATTCGTTCGGCCCGCCTGATAGGCGCTCTGCTCCCCAAGACTGACTGACCCAGTCGCTACAGGATCAAACGCCGCAATACACAACACATGTCGACGGCCCGCCTCCATTTGAGAAGCCCGTGGGAGCTTCGACACGCACGTTTATGCTTTGTGCAATTTGTTCTTCTTCGATGACCGACACCGCTACCCCAAACCACGCACTTCACGACAACGCCCGTGACCGGCTTCGCCCCACCCTCCCCCCCCTGGTCATGACTCGACCGCGTCACACCCCCCCCCTCTGCCCCCCCGAGAAACGCCTGTCATCGCCAATGGGTAAAAAAAACAATCTCTTGACCCCGCACCTTGACCAAGGACCGACCGTCCCGGCATTCCTAAAGGCCTACCGCGACATGTTCTTAGAACGAAGAACAAAAACAATATTCTCAGAACATACACTGGGTGAGTTAAAACTGGACCGTCCCAGTCCGAAATGTTTTAAGGACATTTCGTGGAATCCACCAAAAGTTCTTAGAACATTGTTTGGTAGGCCTATAGGCACGCCAGGACGCTTCGTCACTGGTTGAACAACACCTCACGTTGCCCGGCCTCGTGCGTGCTCAGGTCGGACACGTCGGTGGCGTTGCTCGACAGCGTGCCCGTGGGAGTCTGAAGCACGGAGCCCGGCTGCACGCGCCTCGGGGCCCAGCGGCGGATCGCGGCGGCCACTGCCCGAGAAGCATCCGTACACCCCCTTTCGGGTCATGAGCAAGTCAGGACAGAAAGAAATCAACTCCAGGCCAGTGCAAAATATTACTTTGAACTGATCTGGAGTGGATCAAACTCAGACTCAAACATCTACATCATAGTATACTGAACTGTTATGTTAACATCAGCGCAAACATCACCTCAATGACGACTGAATCACCTCCGGACACATGTCAGATACATACATACATGCATACATAAGTATAATACATACATGCGTCGATATGTGTACGTGTACGTGTACAAACAAAAATGTTGAAGGACCCGCAGTGCGCGTCAGCCCCCCGAAATTCGCAAGGAATCATGCAGGGATGGAGTAGAACACAGAAACACACAGGAGGGTGTGAAGGATGGACATCAGCAATCAGCAACAGCAGCAACGCCTAGCGCTACATGCGGAAAAAGACAGCGCCACGCTCTCGCTCTACAGGAGAACAGCTCGTCGCGCTGAGCGAGGCAAGCGCGCGGGGTGGCATGGCGGGCCAGAGGCAGCTGATGATAAGAGGCCACGCGGGCAAAAAAGAGCGCCATGCGTTGCGTGTTGCAGCGGCGCCCTGCAAGCTGCGATGCGACAAACGCCGAACGCTGCGTGACGCGACAGCGCCGCGAGGTCCCAACTGGGTCCGCGTACCACACAAGTCTGCTGAACCTCCCGGGAACCCACGAAAATGGCGACATTTGCGCGCTTCGCAACCACGAAGGGAGCCGCAAAGTCCCAACTGGGTCCGCGACCCAGTCCACGCCGCTGGACCTCAAAGGAGCCTACGAAAGTGGCGACAATTGCGCAAGCCGCAGCCATGCAGGGAGCCGCGATGTCCCAACTGGGTCCGCGTACCACTCCACTCCGCTGGACCTCCCAAGAACCCACGAACTTGGCGACAGTTGCGCACTCCACAGCCACGCAGGGAGCCGCGAGGTCCCCACTGGGTCCGCGTACCACTCCACTTCCCTGGACCTCACAGGAGCCCACGAATGAATGTGGCGACATTTGCGCACTTCGCAGCCACGCAAGGGAGCCGCGAGGTCCCCACTGGGTCCGCGTAACTCCACGCCGCTGGACCTCCCAGGAGCATACGAAAGTGGAGACAATAACGGACTTCGCGGCCACGCAGGGAGGCTCCGAGGAGCCACCGAGAGTGCCACAGGGCAGGAGAGATGGGATAGGAAGCATGAGGAAGGACGCGTGTAAGGTGGAAGGAGGAAGGAGGAAAGAAGAATGAGTGAAAACAACAACGCTATACTCGAAACGAGAACCCAACACAAGAAGGTTGGGACACAACATTCAATATGCATTCAACATCGACTCAACATCAAATCACTTACGGGACCACTTGGGTGGCACCATAGCAGGCCCTGGATGTCCTCGGCGGGCTCTCGGACCGTCAACAAGACAACTCGGGATGAACAGCTGGTCCCAGGGAATGGGTCGAGACCTCGGGGGTTCACGTATGACACAACTCACGATGTTGGGGATTTGGGTCGGAAGGAGAGCACCAAAGATCTGCAGGGGCGCCCGCATCGCAAGCCGAGGGTTCACGGAGCATGGCTCGAAGCAGGTGTCACATTAGACATGGTGACTGGTCTGCGTCAGCGTGCCTCTGAGCCGCCCAACGGGCAACATCTGCTACACGTCGGTAGTATCAATGACTCTGCATATGCAAAATGTGAATGCGTACTGCCCCATACGCTCACACACCCTGGCACAACATGTCCACCGCCCGTCATCCTCCTCAGAAATATCCTCAACATCTTTCTGCATATGTCAAGGGGCCCAAGGACACACAAATAAATACAAACAAATAAAATGATTCCCCATCTTTTCCCATATGTTCTGGGTGTTTGTCTTCCCGCCCAATTCCCGTAGTTTCCCATAGTCTTGGGGATCGACGATTAATTGTCTCTGTGCGTGTTTTCCCCTCCTGAACATGTGAAAGACAGTGTACATGAAGAGGCACGCACACAAACACCGAAGTAACATGTGACGGTGTGGTTCGTGCATCCGCTTCGTCTGACAGTTCAAAGACATGGCGAGATGCACAACACTAGAAGTTCTGCTGAACCAAACAAGCCACAAAGACCATGAACAACTGCTGTTGTGATTCCCGTGTGTCGTGGCGACTGGGTCTAGAGTGTCCATACCAATCCGCGGACCCCTCCCTGGTCTCTAGGCGTGTGAGATTTCCCCCCCCCATAACAGGGACCCCAAACCGGAGATTTGACATCCCCGGCCCCGGACGAACGCGCCATCGGAGCATAAAGGGCCCCAAAACGGGCCAAGAGGGCCCCAAGTGGGCGCCAAGCGCCAAGACGATCCAAGAGGGCCCCGAATCGTCGAATGATCGGTCCAAGACGCCCAAGATGGCATCCGGACGGCCCAAGATGCCTCCAAAACGCCCCAAGAGGCCTCCAAGAGGCCTCCCAAAAGGCACCGAAGAAGTGAAAACTGCCCCCTTCCCTTCGGAACACGTATGTTTTAAACAAACATCTTCGCATCTTGCGCTTTTCATACTGTGCAAGACGGCCCCAAATACCCCTAGGACAGCTCCAAGACGGCCTACAAGGGTCCAAAGACCGCCAAAGAAGCCCCGATGACGGACGGAGCCAAAAGGGGGCCCACGGGGGAACCCGAACCCACATTTCCAGCCTTCGGCCCCAGGACGCCCCCAGGTTGCCTCAAGAAGCCCCCAACACGCCCCAAGAAGCCCCCAGGGAGCCCGAACAGAGCCCCCAAACGCCCCCAATAACCTCTTAGGAATCGGACAAGCCTCGTGGAATGCAGTCCTGGACGCGCAGTAGTTGATAGAGGGGTCAACGGATGTGGCGTCAAACTATAGAATAAGGAAGGTGTAATGCTGTCGTCCCTAACTTGGCATAGAAACAACGACGAACACTAGGCATGCAAGGGCTTCTAAAATCACAACACGCACGTGTCTACATCGGCTTCCAAAATTTGATCATGCACTCGTTCCGCAAACCCTTCGAACTTCATGCGTATTCCCAAGTACCGATGATAAGCACAACGCCAACAACGGTGAAGACAGAAAAGGCTCGTCGTGGGGATATGGGCGTCATCAAGCCATGTGACAAAACGACCGAAAGCATGGCGCTCATTGCAATTTGGCCCCGGCTAAACTCTACTTCGCCCCATCATTCCCGTTAAATGAATCAACCACCTCTGAGAACGCACCACGGTAGCATGCTGGAAGGTGTGTTAGTGTGTCCATACCGATGGAAATACAACAAACACATAATAAACAGTGATACGGAAGTCAAGGGAATATCATGAATCCCATGAGTCCGTTGTCGCCAACGGCGCGTTGACTGTTGGAAGTGTAAGAACCGTTGCGAAGGGTGGCCTTTCTTCCACGAAACTGGCAACAAACACGCGCAGGGGATAGGGCCCTGACATCGCTACGCCAGGTGCCACGCGATGGGGGACGCCGATGGCCGCCACCAACGCATCGAAGGAAGTTTCGTCCTGCACTTTGCCCCAGCGAGCACAACCTCCTTCTGCTCCTCCTGCTCCAGCTCCTCCTGATCCTAAGTTCTCTTCGTCCTCCTTCCCGTCCTCCTCGTCCTGATCGGCCCTCGTCCTGATCTGTCGTCGTCCTGATCGGTCCTCCTCGTCCAACTTCTTGTCCTCGTCGCCCTGATCGGTCCTCCTCCTCGTCCTGTTCGGCCCTCCTCGTCCCCATTCCTCCTCGTCCTGATCGGTCCTCCTCGTCCTCCTCCTCCTCCTGCACTGCCTCCTCCGCCCACCTCCCTCCTCATTGATATTGCCGTCGCCCTTAGCATTGTATACGCCTCGGTCTCAGTAGCTTTCTGTGTTGTCTTTCTCCAACAACTCCCTCCCTGTCACCGTCATCATCATCATCACCATCACCATCACCATCACCATCACCATCACCATCACCATCACCATCATCATCATCATCATCATCATCATCATCATCATCAGCATCAGCATCATCATCATCAGCATCAGCATCAGCATCATCATCATCATCATCGGCGTCATCATCATCATCATCATCATCATCATCATCATCATCATCATCATTGTCATCATCGTCATCCTCATCCCCATGCCCATCCTAATGTTCATCATTGTTATCACCACCATCATCATCATCACCATCAACATCATCACCATCATCCTCAACTTCAACATCACCATCATCATGACCACCGACATAATCGTCACCAACACCATCATCAACATCATCATCACCGTCACCACCACCACGACCACCACCACAGCCATCACCGTCCTCATCCTCATCATCCTGATCATCATCACCGTAATCACCATCATGCCCATCGTCCCCGTCCTCGCCCTTATTCTCCTCATCATCAGCTGCATCAACATCAGCAGCACCGTCATCCACGCTATCAACATCATCATGTTAACCATCATCGTCATCATCATCATCATCATCATCATCATCATCATCATCATCACAATCATCATCATCAACATCGTCCTCGTTTTCATCACTACCATCGGCATCACCATCGCCATCATTCTCATCACCAACATCAACGTAACCATCATCATATCCACCACCACCATCAACATCATCACCACCACCTCCACCATCATCATCACCATCCACATCGTCATCTTTATCATAATCATCACCATGATCACCAGTCACTTCTCGTCATTAGCATCATCGTCATTACAAGCCACTTTCGAAGGTGTCGCATCCTCCCATTCCTTCTTTTCACGACTGCACGAAGCCACACATCATTGCGTGGTGGGGGGTGCAGCAGCCCCCACCTCCACAAGCCAACGCCATCGCCCAGGCTGCAACAGCCTAGGCGGCCGGCGGAGTTGAACGGCCCGCGAACATGGGAGGCAACCTCTTGTCAGACACAGAAGGCGATTGGGGAAAAATGCAAGACGACTCGAGCCAAAATGGTGACGAAAAACAACCGGCGTCAGTACGCACATCCATGTTCGCGTCTGCACAACCTGCCCACCCCTCCAAATCCTTCTCTTCTCTGGTGGTTTTACCTTCCACAGAAAAGCCGTGTTTGTAATGCAGCCCCCTTTCGAACGCGTCCCGCCCACCATCCTTTTTCGCGACAGCGCGAAAGCACAAGTCGATGCACGGCGGCGGCTGCAGCAGCCCCCACCTCCGCAAACCAACGCCGCAGCCCAAGCTGCAGCAATCTAGGCGCCCGTCGGGGTCAAAGGCCCGCATCTAACGGATCGGCTTCGCTGTCGGCAGCCGCCCCCCAACGATGCTCGCACGGCCCAGGGCGGCAACGGAAACAGACGCAGTCAGCCGTGACGCCGCCCAGCGGCCCACGAAAGACCTCGCCATCCGCGGTGGAGTAGCACCAACAGCGCGGCGCGGGACCCGAACCACGCAGAGGAGAAGACGAGCGGAACCGCCGCGCACAGCCAAATAGCTGCGAGCGGCAGCACTCCTCCAGTCCCAAACATCATGCCTGCCGCCGCGCACGGCCAGACAACAGTCCACGGCGGCGACGCAGAGCAGTCAGTGCGCGCGTGCACCGCGACCATGAACCGCACGTTCCTTCTTTGGCGGCCCCACTTGACCAAAGCCCAGCATAGCCGCCCCGGCTTGTGCGCCGCCAACGAGGTCGAAACTGAACTCGCGCTCCGGGTCGATTCCGAACCCGGGGCAGGTCCGCAGGGACCGCAGGAATCCATGACAGGTTCTGGCTCCCAGTAACGAACTGGGGCCAGAAAGCTCGACGACCATCGCAGCACTGGATACAAGGAAAAGGGGGCACCGAGAAAAGCCGCGCGCAAACCAATGTGCAGCGCTGGGATTCGCACCGCCGGGCCCAAGCGCACCACTCGGCAAAGCTGGCCGCCCCGAAACTGCCCCGCGCGATGCCCAACGAACGCAACGCGAGGTTTTCACCGAGTTCGGACAAAACGCCGCCGGGCCAAGGTCCCCGCCAAACGGCCTCTACAAGTCATCAGAAGCCGAATTCTTGTTCTCAGGGGGGCCCCCACCCCGCGGCCGCCAGAAGTCGCGGGGCGCGTGCCTTGGCGGCCACGGGGGGCTGTTCCCCCAAGCATCAAATTTGGCCCAATTCGCCGGACGGCCTGGGGGCCCGCCTGGCGAATTCGACGGCGGACTTCGAAGTGCTTCGGATTATTTTGGCGCCCCGCCGCGGGCAAGTCCACTCTCCGCCAAAAAGGCTCAAATCTGCACCCGCGAGTTCTGGCCCTCTCGGCAGACTCTGGTAACCCAGAAGATGCGCCAAGCCCCCTGGACAGCTGTCCATGGCGCGGGGGCGACGAGAATCCCGCCCGACGCCCGGTGCCGCGCGGTCGCCCCAGGAGCCTGCAGCAGGTCTCGGGGCCGGACGCGACTGGCCGCGCGGAACCACATGCATCGCTGGGATTCGCACCGATGGGCCCCAATGCAGCACAGGGCAAAGCCGACTGGCTGGCACCCATGAGAACGCCCGGGCGCGATCAGCAACGCCGACCCCAGCGCTGCGCTGAGACTGATCGCGCGTCACATCCAACGCGAGAGCGGCCCCGCCCTCTTCCTCGGCGTAACAGCGAGCGGGAGCGCGCGGAGCTGACGCGGCACCGGGCCCCCCCCCTCCCCTGGCGCAGCGCCGAGCGGACGAGCGCCGTGCCAAACGCAGCGCCAGGGTGGCATCATGTCGCCCTTCTCTCTTCCGGCGCACTTCTGCTCTGCTGCTGCGACAACTCATGCCCAACACTGCGCAACATGATCGACGGTGCCGCGTCGCCCTGCCTCGGCGGCCATCGCCGCAAACAAGCCGAGCAGATCGCGCCGCGCCGTCTACCGTCGATGGCGCGCCACTTCGGGCGAGGCTGGGCGCGCGCGCTCCTGCCCGTCGCCTCCGCTACTTTGCTCTGCGGCAAGCGCCCCGGCAACAACTCTGCTCTTGCGCGGGGGGGCAGGCCCGGGCCGCGCGCCTCAGCAGCAGCGGCAAGCTGGGCTCGGATAGACACGTCAGCGCGTCTGGCAGCCCTATTGACACACCAGTGCCGCGCCGGCAAATCTCTGGTCTATGTATATATATATATATCTATATAAATGTATATATATATATACATATATATATATATATACATAAGCGATGGGTCCAGAGCCATCTCGCAAGCGATCGCGTTTGCGCCTCCACAAGCGCTTCGGCACTTCAGCAGCATGCTACGCAATGAGATCGAATCAGAACTGCTCCGGAGGCTGGAACGCTTGTCGCGCAGGCGCGGGGCCCACTCGCGTAGCGCGATGAGCGCCGCGGCGGCCGCCCAGAAGTTCTGGCCTCAACAGTCGCGGATCTCCTCTTTGAGCCGCTCCGTGGACTCCGCGTGCGGAACATATTCGGAAATCGATTCGATGATCTCGCCGCCCTGGTCTGCGCGCCAGATGCAGCCCGTCGGCGCGCGGCCAGCGACCGCGGGGGCCGCCGCGTCTGCCAGCGCCGCCAAAAGTTGGCGCGGGAATGGGGGCAGCGCGTAGATGAGAGAGGCGACATGCGCGCTCTCGCCCGCGTAGGGCCCCAAGATATTCTCGGGCACCCGACTGGGGCTCAACGCTTGGAGCGACCGCTCCAATTCTTCGTCCGCAATCGACTGCTCGATGGCGACGTCGATCCCCGGCCTCCGCCTGACCCCCCGCGCGTCGTCGACGCGCTCCGCGGAACAGGCGAAAGTCCCGGATGTCGAGGAGACGGCCCGCCCGAACAGGCCTTTTGCGAAGCCAAGGGGAAGCCGACGGCCAGCCAGAGGTAGACGACCATCGCGACTCATTGCCGTCTTCGCTCAAGCGCTCCCGCGACGGCCAAGATGGGTCGTCGGCGTAGCAGCGCAACTTCCCCTTCCCCGGGCTCCGCGGCGCCCATCGTGAGCAGGCGCAGCAGGGCGGCCAGGCCGACCTGCAGCAGCGGCGCGCCTCGCGGCCCGCGCGCTGCTTGCAGGAACGCGCAACACCCGCGCCGAATGCGCGCGGCAAAAAAAACGCCTCTCCAGGACCGGCGACGGGATCAGCCAGAAGGCGTCGGCGAAGTCCAGCTCTGGCATCGCGATGCGCTCGCCCCCCCGCGGCGGCACCTCCGCCCCCAGAATGTCGCAGGCGGTGGTGGATGCGCGCGACAGGATAACCCATTTTCGGCAGTCCCGACGACGCCGAGAGGCCGCTGCGCTTGCAGTTGAGCGTCGCGCGCCGCCTGACCTTGCCAATCTATTCCTTCTTGATGACCCCGCCCTGCTGACTGCAAGGTCCTCGCCGAAGTACTCGCGGAGCTGCCGCTGAGAGGCGCGAGCCCACGACGCTCGCGCGCAGCGACCATGCGTCCGCGGCGTCGTCGTCGCCTGCGAACTCGGCGCGGCCCCCGAAGCCTGCCTCGGGGGCCGCCGTCCTCCGAGCCCTCCGCCACATCGCCAAGGTGACTGGGCGTCGCCGCGTCGCCAGTCTGGGCCGGCTCAACGTCGCGCGCTCGGCCACCGTC